TTCTCTGACAGCACTCCCCCCACCATTCACACTACATTCTCAGATAGCACTCCCCCCACCATTCACACTACATTCTCTGACAGCTCTCCTCCACCATCCACACTACATTCTCTGACAGCTCTCCTCCACCATCCACACTACATTCTCTGACAGCTCTCCTCCACCATCCACACTACATTCTCTGACAGCTCTCCTCCACCATCCACACTACACTCTCTGACAGCTCTCCTCTACCATCCACACTACATTCTCTGACAGCTCTCCCCCCACCATCCACACTACATTCTCTGACAGCTCTCTCTTCCACCATCCAGTAGGTTAGATACATATAAACATTTGTTTGTTGCCCCATGTAGTGTTATATGACTGTTATCCACCTTTACTGAGCACCTACCACTGCCGGCGCGCTGCCCACATACTGGACAATGTTTGTGGTCCCTTTAGTCCTGAGTTAGTCCAATACTTACACAGTTACATAAAAGAACCTAAATTACTAGAATTTGAGTCTGACGGGTATATAAATATCAGACTAAACTGCTACAAACGTGAATATTTTCAATCTGCCTCCAATGTGCTGTGATGGGCACTGTACACCACTTGGCCTATCTGCTCCCTACTCTATGAGATTGGAGGGTTACCATTGTTCCTTGGTATCTTTATACTCGTATCCTTGAGTTCCAGGGTCTGCCTACCTGTGTAGTCTATTATGAGGGGAGGCCACTCTCCACGCTGGACTCTAATTTTACAGTATGCAAAACGGAATAAAAGAGGAAAGTGGCAAACACTTCTCACAACTGGAGTCTCCAAAAGGATAGAAAATGCAAAAATAAGGCTCTACCTATCAGTCTTGACCTTATCCCAGGATGAACCCTGGAAAACGACTTTCATCCTCCAGTTGTTCCATGGACCAAACAGTTCCACCTGTTAATAGCCACTGTACAAAGGAATGAGCAGGTCTGTTCTCTCTGATGTCTAATTAGACTTCTTCTATCAGTAAAACGTTTCCCGCACCAGGAACGCATTGAGGACGTTCCGTGGTGTGAATTCTCTGGTGTTTGACAAGGTTTCCTTTCTGAGTGAAAGATTTCCCGCACTCTAAACATAAATAAGGACGCTCGCCCGTGTGAATTCTCTGGTGTTTGACAAGATCTCCTTTATGAGGGAAAGATTTATCACACTCTGTACATGAATAAGGGCGTTCCCCCGTGTGAATTCTCTGGTGTTTCGCAAGGTCTCCTTTCCGAGTGAAACATTTTCTGCACTCCGGGCATGAATAGGGACGCTCGCCCGTATGGCTTCGCTGATGTATAAGGAGTTTGCCTTTCTCAGAAAAGCCTTTCCCGCACACTACACAGGAAAAGGGACGCTCGCCTGTGTGACTTCTCTGGTGTACAAGAAGTGTGATTTTCTGTGTAAAACTTTTCCCACACTCTGCGCAGGAAAACGGACGCTCCCCCGTGTGAAATCTCTGGTGTTCGGTAAGTGCTCCTTTCTGAGTGAAACATTTGTTGCACTGTAAACATGAAAAGGGACGCTCGCCCGTGTGGGTTTTCCGGTGTACAATAAGTTTTGCTTTATTAATGAAACATTTCCCACAATCTGGACAAGGGAAAGCAGCTTCACCCGTCTGAATACTCTGGTATTGAGTAATGGTTCCTTTCTCAGTGAAACATTTTCTGCACTCCAAACACAAATAAGGACGCTCTCTTCTCTGGTGTTTAAAAACTTTTTTGTTTTCGGTGAAAGATTTCCCGCACAATGAGCAGGAGTATAGACCCTCGCCTCTGTGATCTCCTTCATGGGGGGAGGAAGGTTCCTTGGGATTAGATGGATCTCTTGCAGTGTGAGATCTTAGATGGATATTTCCAGTCATAGTATGTGAATGGTCAGAAGATTCACCCTGATCAGAGGGATCCACTGATGTCTCCGAGCAGTGAGGTCTGTGATGTATGTTTTGTGTGATTGGATTCACTCCTGGAGAATCCTGTGTGATGACATTATCTTCTGACTTACAATCAGCAGATAATATAAGATGTCTCTCCGAGGTATTCCTGACATCACATCCATCTGCTGGAGAGAAATCATTACACACGTCAGTAATCAGAGTCATGTATGTTGGTCTAGAAGTCATCACAGAGCTCTGGCATGGAATTGGGTCCAATTGTAACCCCAAAATATGAAAACCAACCAGATAAAGGAGACAAAACCCCCAAAACACCTCTGACCCCCTGGAGACCATTGTACTGTTCATTCATGACCACTATGGGGGGAATGGATCTTCATATGGTGTACAGTATCTCCTCCTCATTTGTTGGTCACATGACGTTATATGGAGGAATGGAGATGGACCTTCATATGGTGTACAGTATCTCCTCCTCATTTGTTGGTCACATGACGTTATATGGAGGAATGGAGATGGACCTTTCATATGGTGTACAGGATCTCCTCCTCATTTGTTGGGGACGCACCCAGGGGCGTATTTACAGCGAGGCAAAGTAGGCGTTTGCCTAGGGCGGCACCTTCCTGGGGGGCGGCCGTAGTCAAACGCCTATGTTGTGAAGAGGAGGGGAGAGCTGGAGCCCGTCTGTGTGTAGGAGTGGAGGGCGGCTTGCCTGCTTGTGAAGAGGGTGGGAGGACGGATGGAGCCGGACAGCGCAGCCGACGGATGGGATCGTGACTCAGAAAACGAAAAGCAGCCGGCGGCCACTTACTCGATCTCACTGCTTCCTGGGTCACAGAGCCGCTGTGACCCAGGAAGCAGTGAGATCGATTAAGTGGCCGCCGGCTGCTTTTCGTTCTCGAGTCACAATCCCATCCGTCGGCTGCGCTGTATAACCTGGGCGGGCTTGTAATCTCTGCCTGCGACTAGGGGGGGGGTGCTAGTAAGGTGCCTAGGGCAGCCAAATACATAAATACACCACTGGACATGACGTTATATTGAGGAATGGAGATGGACCTTCATATGGTGTACAGTATCTCCTCCTCATTTGTTGGTCACATGACGTTATATTGGGGAATGGAGATGGACCTTCATATGGTGTACAGTATCTCCTCCTCATTTGTTGGTCACATGACGTTATATTGGGGAGTGGAGATGGACCTTCATATGGTGTACAGTATCTGCTCCTCATTTGTTGGTCACATGACCTTATATTGAGGAATGGAGATGGACCTTCATATGGTGTACAGTATCTCCTCCTCATTTGTTGGGGACATGACGTTATATTGAGGAATGGAGATGGACCTTCATATGGTGTACAGTATCTCCTCCTCATTTGTTGGTCACATGACGTTATATTGAGGAATGGAGATGGTCCTTCATATGGTGTACAGTATCTCCTCCTCATTTGTTGGGGACATGACATTATATTGAGGAATGGAGATGGACCTTCATATGGTGTCCAGTATCTCCTCCCCATTTGTTGGTCACATGACGTTATATTGAGGAATGGAGATGGACCTTCATATGGTGTACAGTATCTCCTCCTCATTTGTTGGTCACATAATGTTATATTGAGGAATGGAGATTGGTCTACCCATTGGTTTTCAACATCTCCTCTCATTTTTGTTATGGGCATTGGCTTGTGTTAATGGGACATTATGGTCCAGGTCCTGGTGGCAAATGTGTCTAGTTTGTTGGTGAACCAGGACGCCAGGAGATCCACGTCTGGTGTTTCCCACCTATGAAAGACGTTCTTGGAAAACCCCCTGAAGGTGACCATTCCTCGGAATCCAGACATTGACAACCGAGAAAGTCCGCCTGCCCGTTTTCTACTCCAGGAATGTGCTTATGGAATGTGGACTTTTTTTTTTGTGGGTTGGAATGTGTTTATTTTGAGCAAGAAACTATGAAGAGGAAAGCAGCTAAAAGTCACCGCTGGTCACATATAAGCCCACAACAACAACCACAAAACCGGCATCGAAAGGTACGATTGGCCACAGAGATAGCAATAAGTTTCATAGCTGACCCGGAATCTCTCCCAATGCAGACTATCTGCTCTCCTCATCCATCCCCTGCACCTTGTTCCCTCCATAGTGTCTGTTACTTACTTGTGTTGATCGGTAGAGAAATGTCATCCTGATCCCTTGTCATCATCATCCCGACCTCCTCCGTGGACGGCCGGTCACCCCCCACATACGTCTCCACTTCTTCCTCTTTAACCTCAGCTTTTATATTGTTCCGTTCCTCACCCTAAACCCCAAAATAATAGAAAATATCTCATAAAGCTGAAAAAGAAAGAAAGCTGAAGCAAAAAATAGATCTTCTGCA